TCCGGGGTTACCATGAGTATATCTTTGTTATTTTCATCCATAGACAAAAATAAGCACCTAACTCTTGCAGTGCAAGGGTAGCCCAAGGGTAGAGGTTAAGATTATTGCTGCCTGAAGTTATTTTTTAACCGCTTGCCGCCGCCCACTGTCAAAACACGGGTGGATGGCGGACGCTAACTGGCTGGTGGACGTACATGTACGTGTTTTTTTTTCTGCAGGTGCACGTGAGCACCATCCTGCCGGGAATGTTAACAGCCGTTACTGTCTGTTACATACAAGCGTTTGGCCAGCTTCACAGATCGCTTCTATGACAATGCCCCCCTCCCTTGCTGCCGGTTATCCCGGGCTCCGCTGCCCCCCTGTGGTCCCGGGACCGGCACAGCGGCTGCTTAACTGTGCACGGAGGAGAGATCAGCATTCTCCTACTTGCTGATCTCTCCTCTGATCTCTAAAGGCGGAAGTAATTTCTCTGGCTGCTATAGACAGAGAAGAAGCTGGAGAAGCAGATCTCTGCTTCATCAGCTTCTTTGGAGGTCCCAATGTGACATTAGGGGTCTTAGAGACTCCTGATGTCTCCATAAAAAGAACATGTCATTGCATTTTTGTTATCACACAGGGGGATTTTTAGCCCCCTGTGATAACAATAAAATTAAATGTAAAAAAACAAAAAGCTTTAAAAAAAATTAAAGTCACTGACTTTAAAAAATAATAAAAAAACACCCCCAAAAATGTAAGTCTCCTGCCCCCGCGTGCATGCACATATAAACCTAAATACGTGTCAGGTGCTCCTACATGCGAAAATAATGATTACACCACACGTTACATATCACTGCGAATTTTAGAGTGAGAGCAATAATTCTAGGGCCATCAATCACTGACAACACTAAACTGATGAGCAGTAAAAGAATTTAAAGCATCGCCTATGGCCCATTTTAGTCATGGTAGGTTTTTCCGATTTCGCAGGCGCACACAATTTTAAAGTTTGACAGTTTAGTGTCTATTTACCTAACATGACCCCATCTTTTACATTTTACCAAAAAAATGGGTAATAATAGATGTTTTATAACATAATGTAGGCAAAACAGGTTTTTTTTCAACATTTTCTGAACTTTTTTCTTTATATAGTAAAAAATAAAAACCCCAGGGGTGATTATATACCACCAAAAGAAAGCTCTATCTGTCCCCAAAAAATGATATAAAATGTATTTAAATACAGCGCTGCATGACGCAATGTCAGTCAAAAAACTGCAGCGCTGAATACTGAAAAATGGAATGGACAGGAAGGGGGTATAAACACCCCGGCCACCAAGTGGTTGAAGCCATGTATTCCTTGTGTGGTATATGAACAGATTATGTGAACATCTGTGTTCTTCTGATACTTCCACCCTTACATCAATTCATTAGGCCAGAAAATAAGAGGATGATGTCACAAGACAGTTACACATCCTGTTTGGCAATTTGCCAAAATAAGATGTCAGGCGCAACAATTTGCATTCCTCAACAGCTGCCAATCTTAGTTTATCTGGCCTATTGTGTCCATCATGGAGTCCAACAATCGTTTATTGATTTTTATATTTATATCACTTCTATGTGGGGAAAGCAGACGCTACTTTTTTTAATTTGCCTTCGGGCAAGCAGTCTTAAGCTGGCCATACAATAGGCTGAACGAAAACAATCTAACAGAAATGCCCCTCCCCTTCCCAGTCACTGTTCAGCCCAGAATTTTTAACCATAGTGGATTTAAAATATAATTTGAACCAGGTATGGCCAGCTTTTTAAGGAGTAATTCAACCAAATATGTTCAGAGCCATAAAGTTATTATAACGCCCTCTCTTTATTGCCCTATTATGACTAGTCATCCCAAGCACCTCAGGTAGGAAGAAAGTTTATCACACACTCAAATTGTAGATGGTCAATTTTTCCCAAAGAGTGCTTAAAAAGAACACCAACAAGCTTCTGAAATAATATGAATCTATTCTCTTGAAAATGAATCAGGCTATCTTTCATGTACTACTTGCTTTTAGTTACTTGAATTCTCCCTGTAAGAACAGGATTGTCAGGCTTTAAGGCTGTCCTATCACCTGCTTGAGCTCAGTGAAGGATAACATACACTTCAAAAAACTTTCATATAACAAACGTGCTGTCAGGATCCCATGAAAGAAAATTAACGGCACCCTCAGGCCAGACCAGACAGTTTGTCATTTATCAGACCTGAACTCAGGCAGGAAACAGTCTCCATGAGGGCCTTACAGCCCAAAACTGGGTTGACATTTTTGCACTGACAGGAAAAGTGAAGACAAGTGTACAGCATGCACCTATCCCCAAGACTGCATCATTTTACCAGGATTTGAATCTATACAAATGCTCATTCCTGATTGGTTCTCTTAAATTGAAGGAGCACAACTATGCAAAAATTTTTTATGGAAAGGGCTGCAGTTTTCATTTTTGTAGAAGTTTTCACATTAAAAAAAAAATACATTTGAGAAAAACCTGTTACAAATTTATATTTTTATAGATGTGCACGGGAAAAAAAACAAAATAAGGACACTGCAGCTTAGGGGGGTTATATTTACTTTTGTGGTATATTAGCCAGATCTGCTTCCACAAAACTTCAGCTTTCTGTGCAGTTGTCCCATTTTCCCACACACATCCACCCATCTTTATTAATGTTATGCAATCAGCGCCATACAAGTCTATAGGGATTTCCTGACTTCTCAGAACAGAGCTCATAATTATGAGACACGTGGACAGTGGCTGGACAGCAGAGAGAGCTGAGGTTGTGCAGAATTGGATCTAGTAAAGGACACCACAGATGTAAGTGTAACTTGCACGTTACATGTATCTCCCCCAAAGCAACCTGGAGATTTTCATAAATTATATACCGTATATACTCGAGTATAAGCCGTCCCGAATATAAGCCGAGGTACCTAATTTTACCACAAAAAACTGGGAAAAAGTATTGACCCGAATATAAGCCGAGGGGGGGGGGCACTTTTCAGCCAAAAAAATGGGCTGAAAATCTCGGCTTATACTCGAGTATATACGGTAAGTAGATGGAGGAAGCAATATTTGCTCATTTCACATGCAGGCTCCTAATTATTAATGCATCTGTCTGAAAACAAAAGACTCTTTACAGCCCTGTTGCCCAACCGGTGGCCCTCTGCAGCCAGTGGTCAGCATTTTCCTTGATTAGGTGCTTAGGAGTCAGTAAAGTAAAATATTAATTGAACTGGTTTCTAATAACAGAAGGGGCTGAAATGTTAATGGGTGATCTGTGGCAGTCTTTTGTAACCTTCCTCAAGGTCTCCTACACCTACCTAGTCTCCAACCACCCTCAAAGCATGTCTACAGTCTTTGACCATATCCTGCAGTCTCTAACATCTACCGTAATCTGTAGAGTCACGGACTGTTTTCTGTAGCATTACATACACTAAACTTAGCTTTTTTACTCAGATTACCATGATTTGGTAACGCTGGCAGGTGCTTACTTGAATTATGTGAATTCTTTATAATAGGTCCACTTTAAAGGCATGCACATGTTAATGTTCAGGCGCTTATAACTGAAGATATCTGAGACTTAAAGCTGGTATAGCAAGAGGAGATACTTCCAAATGCCTTTAGCAGATTTTGTCCAGTAATTCCGCAGAATTATACACCAATCAGCAATAACATTATGACCACTGAGAGGTGCAGTGAATAACATTGATTATCTCATTAAAATGGCACCTGGAAGTAGGTGGGATATATTAGGCAGCAAGTGAACATTTTGTCCCTGAAGCTGATGTGATGGAAGCAAAAAAAAACCCAACAACAAATGGGCAAACGTAGGGATTTGAGTGAATTTGCAAAGGGCTGAATTGTGATGGCTGGATGACTGGGTCAGAGCAACTCCAAATCTGCAGTTCTTGTGGGATGTTCCCAATCTGCAGTGGTCAGGACCTATCAAAAGTCATCCAAGGAAGGAAAACCGGTGAACTGGCAGAAGGGTCATGGGCAGCCACAGCTGATGTACGTGGGGAGCAAGTAAGGTGTCTGAACACACAGTGCATCACAGTTTGTTGCATATGGGACTGCATGGCTGCAGACTGATCAGGGTGCCCATGGTGACCTGTGTCAACCACCAAAAGTGCCCACAATGGGCACATGAGCATCAGAACTGGACCACTGGGCAGTGAAAAAAGATGGCCTGGTCTGATGAATCCCATTTGTTTTTACATCATGTGGATAGCCCAGTGTGTGTCACTTACCTGGGGGAGGGATGGCACCAGGATGCACTATGGGAAGAAGGCAAGCCAGTGGAGGCAGTGTAATGCTTTGGGGAATGTTCTGCTGGGAAACCTTCCTAAACATTGCTGCTGACTAAGTACATCCCCTTCATGGAAATGGTATTCCATGATGGCAGTGGGCTCTTTTAGCAGTATAATGCACCCCGTCACACTGCAAAAATGGTTCAGGAATGGTTTGAGGAATACAACAATGAGTTTGAGGTGTTTACTTGGCCTCCAAATTCTCCAGATCTCAATCCAATCAAGCATCTGTGGGATGTGCTTGAAAAACAAGTCCGATCCACTGAGACCCCACCTTGCAACTTACAGGACTTGACGGATCTGCTACTGATGGCTTAGTGGCAGATACCACAGCATACCTTTAGAGGTCTAGTGGAGTCCATGTCTCGATGGGTTAGGGCTGTTTTGGCAGCAAAAAGTGGACCTACTCAATTTTAGGCAGGTGGTCATAACATTATCTATATACCAATAGATACAAAACAATTCTCTTTTACATTTTACTTACTTTTAGAATGGCTTGACTTTTTTCTTTAGTGTCTAACTGCATAGTTGTGGCAATATTTGCAAGAATAATCAAGGAAAACCCAAAAACAAAAAAAGGTAGAAAGCAGCTACTTTTATCCAAGAAGACATTTTACATGATACATATACATCAGCAAATATATATATAGTTATAGAATAGTTTAACAGCAACGTATGCTTTATTGTAACTTTACATAGTAATCAAGAAAAGAAATCATTGATTTAACTAATCTTCAACTTCAGGCTCATCATAGCCTAAATGAGATGAAATGGGAAAGTGAGCCCAGTAAACTTTGGCCATTTCATCAGTCCTCTCATAGGCAGCCAGTCTACGTAATTCTTCTACCCATCCATAAAAATCGGAAGCCGTCATGCTCCAGTTTGGCATAGCTCTCTTCTCTCGACTCTCAGCTATAACAGAAATTAAATGATAGTAATTCAAACTCTGTGCACTTTTATACTCTGCATTTCAATGTCTTTAAAAAAAAAAGAAGTTTACAGCAGCCTACTACAATATGGTAGCTCATATTGAAGCAAACCTGTTAAACAGGTTGAAATCACAAAACTAAAACAAAATGTAGAGTGAACCAGGGATGGACTCTAGCACACCAAGTCTTAAGGTGCTTATACACCTTACAATTATCTGGAGATTTTTGACTGTGATCGCGTTTTCATCTGAAAATCTGCCAGTTGATGGGAAGTACACAACCTCAATTACTGGCAGATTTTTGTCTTTCGCGCAGGCTAGAAAATTCTTGTCTAGTCACGGCTTCAATGAAATTGTAAACTCTAAAGAACACATAATTCAGGAGGTGGCATACATCTCATGCCACAGAGGGTATGTGTTGGAACCATGGAATGCTCCGCTCAGAAGCTAAAACATTTGGCTTCCAGGGCTTCATACCTCCTTTAAACCTCTGGGTGCCCTGTAGAATAATGTAACCACAACATTTGTGCATAGTGGTGAGATGGAAACTCCTAAAGACAACTCTGATATCACTGGGATTTCTTGTGTTGTCGTGCAGCTACCTATAACAGTAACCAACAGATCACAATTATAACTTGTTGTTGCAAAGGTGTGTGGGGGTGGATGAGGCCCTTCCTGACATGAACCAGTCCGTACATGCAAAAAAGGGGTAGAAATATTAAAAGGCAGGATTTTTTAATGTGTGCAGCATGATAGAACTACCAAGGGCAAAAGAGCTCTCAAACTGAAAGCTGAAAAATAACCACTCTGATATAATACATAAAAATTACACTTCTGTGGTAGCCTTTAAGGATAATTGCACTTTGAAACAAAGTGCACTTTTCCCTTTAAGCTGACGTTGCTGCTCCCTCCCTTCCTGTGCAGAGAAGAATGCTTACAGAGTTCCGACGGGCCCCGTCTCCCCAATTGTGGTAGGAATTTTAGAAAGGACCTCAACGCCAAAAAAAAAAAAGTGTGGGGTCCCCCCTAAAATCCTTGATCCGAGCAGCATCCTGGCAGAGCAGGATATAGCAGGCCACATGCCTTCAACATGGGAAGGGTGCTTTGCCGGGGGGGGGGGACATGTAGACGAGGACAAGGTCCTCTTCCCCACAACCCTGACCCAGTGGTTGTGGGGGTCTGCAGGCAGGGCCCCCATCCCTGGCAAAGCACCCTTCCCATATTGAGGGCATGTAGCCTGCTATATCCTGCTGCTCTTAAACGTCACTTTTCTGCAATTAATTTTCATCCGTAAATATTGTTTCATGCATTCGAAATGAATGAATATTTCCAAGAAACAAAAAAACAAAGAACCTGAACCGAAACTAATTTTGCTGGTATACATGTCTAATCTGTGCTTTGTAGAGCATATTTTTTGTATATGCATGTAGGCATGCTATTAAACAAAGCTGTGAATGGGCCCCAAAAGCAGACTTTATGATTAAAGTTTCAGGAAAATAACTGCACTAATTGTGTAAATTGAGCACAGAAGAAAATTCTATAAATTACATAAACCCTTAAAATGAGATCTATATACATTCAAACATCTAACAAATTAGAATATATAGAAATCCAAGATATAGAAATACTTATTTGCATTCTTATTCCAGGTAAGGGATACAAAGTATTAACACAATAAGGTGGAGTCAGAAAACTAGCATCTGCAGAATGAAACATTGCATTGGCAGAAGTTTTCTTTAATACTATTAGAATAACGTACTCAGATCAAGTATGCAGAACAGAGAAAGGGTAAAAGACACCATGACAGCCAGGCAACTAACATGTTCAGAAGGAAAGCTTGGTAATGACACTCTTTGTTTCTCTCGTAAGAGGTTTATTTCAAATGCACAGTATACCTATAGGATGGCAAGAGAACACCATCATTGACTGTCTAGGTTGCTCATCTAAAATGTTAGGACCAAAAGGATTAGCAGCTATTTATTTTGTAACATAACAATATTTTGCTCAGCTATTGAAAACTCCTTAAAGAGTACAATGCTCCATCTTGTGGAGGGAGAATGTAATTGCATGTCACATACGACACTATCAATTATGTTTTAGACAGAAATATATTCCACTGTCCAAGTACGAGGTCACAATTCAGCTATTTAATGTAATAAAATAGAAATACTGTAAGATGCCAGTCACTCATGCTGTCATATAAATCTCACGACAGGAAATAATGTACAAATACTAGTCTTGAGTGATTATGATGGCAATATTGTTCCTGGATAAGCCTTTTTAACAAGAACATTTTATAAGTGGAGTACTTAGAATACTGGACCAAGTAAGCAGATCAGGAGATTGGATTTCACTTGCTACATTCATGATCTGGGTCAGCGATTCAAAGTACTGAAACCAGCCAACCAAACAAACATTTTCGAGGTCGTCAGTATTGTCAACTTGTATATTTCAGCACAGACTCCCCTAAACAAAAAAAAAACCTCAAGCAGTTAGAACTGCCATTTTCTACTAGTGTTTTCTTTTATTATGGAGCTCTCTGATGACTAACATTATGTGGTGCTACGGCAGTCATAACTCTGCTCCTCCAATACATGTTCGGGCTCTGCTCACTGTCACGAATGCTGTCTAAGAACCTGCCACCAAACCTACCACCCTGATTTTCTGCAGTGCATTGGCATGTTGGCTTTTGTTGACAAATGGCATAACGGTGCCCGAGGAAAGAATTCACAGTTTGTGAGGTCCACAAAAAAATAGTTCCGATTTTCCCTTAATTTGTAGAGCTGTGACATGAAAAGCTAGTTCCAAAAATAAAACAAAAAAGAATAAAAGTGTTCCACTTTCAGACATTCCTAAGAGATGTCCATTGCTTGCAGATACATCTACTATCATTAGGACCAGTATTAGGACCAGTAATATCAGTGTATTTTAACAATGCCAAATATGCTGTATATTGCTCAATTATACACTGCCTGGCCAAAAAAAAGTCACATGAATATTTTGTTGGTCCGGCTTTAGCTTTGATTATGGCACGCATTCACTATGGCATCATTTCGATAAGCTTATGCAATGTCACAACATTTCCTTCCAGAGATGCATTCAATTTTCACCAAGATCTTGTAGTGATGATGGGAGAGTCTGACCATTGTGTAAAGTCTTCTCCAGCACATCCCAAAGATTCTCAATGGAGTTAAGGTCTGCACTCTGTGGTGGCCAATCCATGTGTGACAATGATGTCTCATGCTCCCTGAACCATTCTTTCACAATTTGTGCCCAATGAATCCTGGCATTGACATCTTGGAATATGCCCATGCAATTAGGATCATTCAGTATATTCAGGTAGGCAGCTGACCTCATTTACTTGGGACATAACATGCTGAACCTAGACCTGACCAACTAACCCCAGATCATAACACTTATCCAATGCAAGACGCTTACCTATTTGCGTAGCTAAATGCAGGTGGTGCCTTTTTTGGAAAGGCAGTGTATGTAAAATGAATACACATACTTGTACACTAAAAATACACTAAAATGTCTGTACTGAAAGGGTGAACCTGCCTAGTTCCAACCACATCAAACCTGGACTGCAAGATCCGTAATGTTGTCCCTCTGGTCTGGACTATTGTAACTGTCATTTTAAAGCCCAGCTTCAACCAAAAAAGACATTTTAATGCTGTTTGTCACTCCATTGGAAAGTTTTAAACTTTTGTCAATCTCTTTGACACCAGGGCAATAAACAAGGTGAACTGGGGTCACAGAATAAGATGGCACATACAGCAATAAAAACACAACAGAAGTTCTTATACTTTCTCAATCTAACCAAAAGTACATTTTGGCCTAAGTGGTGGTTTGATCACATGATGGTCACACCTGCAATATGACTTACCGTTGACTAGCTTGGATCTTCTGCACAGAACTCACAACAGACCAAGTGTAGAGTTCCTTTATGAGAGGAGACCAAAATACCAACTTCATTTAATAATAAATCTAGATTTGTGCAACTGGTGTAATATCTGGAATCCATTTGTGTTTCTTTTTCCAAAATTCTTAAGTGACCCAAAGCACTCACCTTTGTTTCTTATGACAGCACCCAAACCTGCAGAGAGAAAAAAAAAACAGACCATCAGCGTGAATGAATTGTACTCTGAATCAAAAACTATTTTTATTAAAATACAATGAGAAAATGTCATTCTAAAATGATGACAATCATAGACAACAGAAAGTTTCAGCAACAAACTTCAAAACCTAGATTTATGGTACATTCAAGTTTATGGGATGTTAGTGCACGGGCAGCCAAGCACTAGATTTATACCAGCCGAGATACAAAGCAGGAGGCTGCAGCTGTCAGACAAGATATGTACAGAGCTGCTGGAGTGAAGACCCAGATCTATGTACTAAGGGGGCTTGGGAGGGAGGCTGGAGACATTTTTTAGCAATCATGTACTTTAACAAGGCCAAGATTGACATCCACAGCACACAACCTTTGAAGTTAAAAAACAAAACAAAAAAACTATTGTTGCTACAAGCAACAACTCTTATGCTGGTGTCAGAGCATTATAGGCTTTCTAAAGGGAAGAAAGTAGCAGCTGTTTACTTTCAGACTCTCTAATTTAAATGACATATAGGGGTCTATTCACAAAGCTGCCGAGGGCAGCCGAGTGAATGACCGATCAGAAGTGAAGTGAGCTGAACACTGTTCGGCTATTCACTTCAGGCTGGTACGGCCGTACTTCAGGCTGAAATCAGCCGTACATCGGCTTGCTTCGTGTGGCTTCGGATCAGCCGAACATGCTTAGCATGTTCGGCTGACCTGAAGTGCAGAAGGAGTTCGACTCAGCCGATCCAACATCTGGATCGGCTGAGCCGAACCTCCGGCAGGCTTCTCACTGCTGTTCGGGCTATTCTGAAAGATCCCGAACAGCAGTGAGAGAATAGCCGAATGCCGCCGAGCGGCATTTGGCTCGGCTGTTCTGCTCGGTCCCTCAGAGGCACCGAGCAACTGCACAGAGAAGGCAGGAAGAGAAAAGGAGGCGGGTCAATCATCTTCCTGTGACTAGAAATGTGGGAACTGGTACCGTTGAATTTTCTGTAAATGGTACACGCTCTGCAGCCCCCTCCTTCCGATTCAAGTCTTAATACCTAACAAGTCACTAACTTGAATCAAGAATGCAGGATGGGAGTTAATTTGTTAAAGACTTCACTTGCTGCATGCTTCTACTTCAGTGACTCACTAGGATGACGAACAGAATTGAATAATAAGGTAAAAATGGCAGTTCCCAAATTCGCAACACAGGCTAAAAATAAAGCTTGTCCAACGCCAATCACCTTATTGGCTTAGTGTACTTCCGAAATTGCAATGCAAGATGTGAGCAGTGAAACTGATGAATGTTGTGGCGGACTCTGGCATGCCAGAAGCTTACTTTTCATCACCACAGACGTACCCGCAAAGCTTGTAAATTGTCTAATTGCTTTGTAGTTTCAGTTGTGATCCTGTTAACTTATTGCCATTACTCCCTTTTGGATCTGGATATAGATTTTCTAGATTGCCAAGTCCCTGCTTTTACTAAACAAGTCCCAGCATGCTTTGCATCACATGGTATCCAAGTACAGCTGAAGAGTCACAGGTTAGATAAGGGTCAACTCCAATATTGTATATAAATGTTGAACATGGTCAAAGCTGTAAAATAGAGTTGTAAAAGAAGATAAAAACTTGTATATAACATGACACCCAGCAGTCAATGCTGTAAGTCATATACACTGATATACGGACACTAGATTCATACTATTTAATGTTTCACTTATTCCATGATTAGGGCTCATTGGGGCATGCCAAAAGGCCATTAATGAGATTTTAAGCTTTTTATTGGATTACAAACATTTTGCTTAATTTTATTGGCCAAATCCATGTCAACGAAGACACGCTTTTGCAAAGATAAAATGCATGTCTATCGGTTAAAACATTCCGTGGGTTATGAATAAGGAATGTGAAAGATGTTTGTGACCATTAGAACATGCATAGAGGGAACAGAGTATAAATAATTCCTGCTAGAAAATATTTTGAATACAAAATTGGATATTTGGAACAGGCAATCTAATTAAAGATTACCCAGGCATACACGGTAGAGAGTGCATGTCATCTGGCAGTAGCGCACCATGTCAGGAAAACATTTGTGCTTCAGTTATTATCTGGGGGTCTGATTTAAGTGTGACATGTCTCTCCGAAACGAAATTGTAGTAAAGTAAAAAAAACTTTTAGATCATTACCTTTGTCTTAATTAAACATTTCCTTCCCCACTGGTACAACTGACAAAATAGACTATTGATGAGAAGCAGTCTGTCAACAAATAACAGTGAGGCAGAAAGCTTATCTCCAGGGAGTGGCGTCCTCCTAAGACAGTGACAGTTAACCTTCATCCAAAGGCACTGTATGCATTCTAAATCATGCAGCCGCAGAAAAGACAGAACCAAAGAGCTTCTCTTACATACACCTGGCAACAAAATGTGGTGTTTACAAAGGCTCAAGTGTGTGTGTATACACATATATATATATATACACACACACAAACTACATACAAATATATATATATACACACACACACACATTATATATTACACACACATATACACATACATACACCTGTCACTGAAATATGATTTATGGATTATATGAAGCCAATGTGATTTGTCTGGATTTTTTTTCTCATTTTGTCTCTCATAGTTGAGGTCTACCTATGATGCCAATTACAGGCCTCTCTCATCTTTTTAAGTGGGAGAACTTGCACAATTGGTGGCTGACTAAATACTTTTTTGCCCCACTGTAGCTGATTCAGCTCACTTTCCAGTTCAGCTATGTTTTCCTAGATTGTTCACTTCTCCTGCCTTCTCCAAACGCTTCACCCATTAAGAACAAACCTGTATATCTTGTCATGTCTATATATAGAGTGACTTGCAGAGATGTGCTCTGCTCATAAGCTTATGCAGAATAAATTAGTGAGGAAGCCATACAGCATGTTTCGCTTAACGTATGCAATATCATGCTGAAGATCAGTCTGTATCCATTCTAGCAAGCAATGCCTCTTTTACGCGTTCTAACCTACTCTGGCAAAATGAAAGGAAGCAACTGGATGATTGGCTGGATTTCTCTTTAATCAGATACATCTTGGCCTCACAAGAATACATGAATGCCTCCACTGCCAGTCAAAATGATGCCATAGGGGGTGGGAGGAACCAACAACTGGGACCTTTAACTAATGGGGTGAAAAGGTTTAAAAATGTTTAGATTATATTCAAGGCATTTTTGCAAAGTAAGCCGTTACTAAATGGATGAGGTCAACTGCCCTCAAACCGATACTTCAATTTTGGGTAGAAGCTGAAGGGTTTATCACCTTCCAGTCATATAGCTTGGAAACTCCAGTAGCAAAATGTCTTTGTGATCATGTGTCTACAACCTCACAGTCACAGCAAACATTTTGCTCTGTTGGTGCTAAAGTCCAAATTGAGTTGCCTATTCCACATTAGAAAAACCTTATGTGGTTACATGATACCACTTGACTTTGGAAAGCCCAGAGAAGTCTGACAGATCTTTACATTGTTTGTGATAGCGTGTCAGTAGAATAGAGAAGAATTCAGCACGTGAGTTCATTCATCAGCAACCATTGATCACTGAAATATTACGTAGAACTGACTTTAAATCTATGAAATGCTCACTCAATATGCATCAGATGGTGCAGGTTGGGATGATGAGAATTAAGACATTTTCATAATGACTTATTTGACTAGTGGTGGAGAATTATTTGAGAATGTATACACATGGACCTTTTAGGTCATGCTTCATGGCAAGACATCATATTGTTTTTCATTTTTAAAGACAATCACACTCATCAAAAGGCACTCTGTCACCAAGCAAGCTACATTTGCTTCCAATGAAAGCACCATTCCATGTTATAGTGTTCAACTATTCCCTACTCGGTCCAAGCCAAAAATCCTTATTCCTACACATGACTCAGCCAAACTGTTCAGGAAAGAAATGGAGAAAGCAAAGCATGTCTGTGTGCATTCTATCTTGTACTGGAATTCTGCTAAGCTCCTCACATACAGTGTATGTGTATATATCTAGATACACACAAATATATCGCCATCTGTATATCTACAATTTACTGTTTAATAGAGAGGTCACATGATCCCAGAAAATGAATTCAAGAGATTAGAAAAAGGACTGAGGATTTCAGTGTGACAAAAAAGAGGTTGAACTGGGTAACTGAGCATTAGGGACTGCAAACACTGTCTATAGACACATGTCAAGAACTTGAATAAAATACACATTAATACACGGAGAACCATTATGGCACACCTGGAAAATATAGGAATTATGGAATCCATTCATTATAGTAACTTTTACTTAAAGATTTAGACATTTTTACATATTGCAATACATTATTTGGATGTCTTTAGAATGGTTTGTGGTAGAAAAACCTATATCAGATAAACTCTGGAAATTATGCAAAGATATGCGAGTCAAAAAATAAAAAAGTCAGATATTCCAAAGTCTTCCACTATATGTGCATAGGACACAAAAAAACAGCAGCAGGTTTGAACACAATTTACCCTAGGCTGGTGATGTACAATATATTTTTTTTGTTTCCCATGATTTGAAAAACATTTAATAATTATCAGTCACAAAATAAAGTGGAAACTGATGACTGGTAATGAACATATCAAGAGAATTCCTGCTAATTTATTTGTATTCACTTCAATGTCTGTTTTTAAATCTGCCAGCTATACAAAGAATCATGAAACTCATGAATCCAGGCTACTGCAGGGCAAGTCTTTTGTGGTTCTTTGCAGGCAAATCTGCATGTAAATATTAAGAAATATCAAACATTTCACAATTCAACTGATCTGGCAGCCGATCCAATCAGCACTATATAAAACCAATAGGAGGTGGGCACACCAATTTTCAAGCTTGTAAAACCTTTTTTGGTGGTATAGCAAGCAGTTAGGGAGAGTATGATGATACACAGATCGAGAAATCTATAAAGATCTAAAAAAATAAAAAATTATTAATGTCCCCTACAGTAAATCTGCATCAATAACGTTGTTTAGAGATGTAATCCATGTCAATCACAGGATCCAGTGATGTAATCCCTCGTCGCCCATCGATGTGTACCTGCTGCACTCACATTGCTAATTGAGAGATTCCTGGGCTGCTCTAATGTAAACAGACAGCTGGGAATGCTGGATGACATTGACCAAATTTGGTTAACGCAAGGTAACCCGCCAATGTTCTTTGCACGCATGTTAAAAATGTTTTAAGATTAATTAAGACCCCCAAAGCATTATATATTAAGTAGAGACCCTGTAGAATAAATAGGTGAGATTTCAATTTTTTGGGTCTCCCAATATTAATGCAAGAAAAAAACAAACACAAACATGATAAAATACAAAATCTAAAAGATGAAAATAAGTAGGATACCCAATATGGTAAGGCATACAATTATATACGGTAAAAGGTCACCAATTTAGAGTAAATGATGGCCCTTAAAATCTTGCTCTCACTCCAGCCTGCATGGCGATACCTAGTATGTGTGTTGCTACTGTCGTTTTCAAATGCAGGTGCATTTGTTTGTAATGTGGGGGCAGGGGGCTTTTAAAAATGTAGGTAATTTTTTTTATTCTATTAAAGTTTGTTTTTTTTGGGGGGGGGAGGTTAATGCAACCCCAACGCATATGGTGTGAATCAGTTCTAAAGGTGTCCAAAATAGGAGGCGTTTGTATTGCCCATGGCTGGTAATCAGATTGTTATCATATTTCCTCACTTAGCGTTGTCCACCAATTTAATGGATAAGATATGTCGCCACATACCCACAAACTTGTTTCACAGTGCAAAGCTGTTCTTTACAGCATGATCACTATGCAAAACAAGGTTTCAAGACGATGCAGGGACCCTTCATCAGGCATGTGTCATTACATTGCCTATAGTGTCCCTGCACAGCCCGGAAACTTAGCATGTCATCATGCAGTAAAGAAGAGCTTTGAACTTTGAAACAAGCTTGTTAGTGTGCTTATGGCACCCTTTTTAACCATGGTCCATTCCTGTATGGTGTACAAAAAGAATATACTCCATGTCTACCATTTATGTCACAAAAAGTTAAGACTTCTAAGTTGAGTGTGTCGCTACACACTGGGACTGTAGTGCTATGCATGAGTGCTAAATCACATGACTAAGGCTGGACAAACACTTTTAGAATTTCAGCCCAGAAATCGGCTGAAATCCTTACGTGGGGCTGGATGGACACCTGTCGCCTGTCAAAAGAGCGCCCGACCAGTTACTGTAGCCAATCAGCTGCAATCAATATTCATGTCTTCTGACTGTGGCAGATGCTGTTGTCAGCATACAATAGCCAGAGATTTGTTCATCCATGCTGTTTTTAAGTAGGATGGAGTAATCTGCTATTAGAAAACAATCTATATAATATATTGGCCATATATAGCATATGACCAGCTTAAGATTCAGTTATCTACATGAATCCTATCCACTGCTTTCAATACATTGAGATACCTGTCATGTACAGAAAAAGATCAGAGAGGTTCCCATTTCCACAATAAGTTCTAATCACACATTTTCTGCTCACAGTTTGTGAACCTTAGTTTCTACAAAGATCTTATGTCCAAACTAAATACAATTCTTAGGATGCTGGACATGATGCCACCAACGCTAAAAGAGGCATTTCTAAAAATTCACAGGCTAAAAATCTGGCCTTTATAGGGCTACTAAACATTTACCTTTACTATTCTAAAAAGTACTAAGTGGTGCAATTTAAATATATTTACGTGTGAGCATTTATGGGGGAAAAAATCTGCAGAGAATGGCCATATCTATCTGCATAAGGTTTATAAATGCCCCTCGCAAGTTTAGCCTAAATATCTGAAATGTGGTTCCTCAAAAGTTTTAGGCATCATTGTAAAATGTCAAATTATTCTTGCTAAACTCCCTAGACATGAAAAAGTATAATTACATATACAACAGGGTTAGCATTGTGTAGTAGAGAAACCATTTTGCAAGACAGCAGCCTGTCTACATAAATATACTGTTTAGCACGCTGTATCATATGTTTGAGAGAATAATAATGCCAATAAAGCTTAATTAAGCATGCAACACAAGAGGATTAGATTTTGCAAAAAAAAAGGATAACATCTTACTAATAGAAGCCAAGCAGATAAGGCAGATGGCAAAAAGCAACACCACTCTTGAAGGATTCATCATTCTGGACTGGTATCTTCGTGAAAGCTCATGCAATGACACTGCGTTATATACTGTAGTGAAATGAACCCTGTCTTGTGCAGAGCAATAAGGACTGACATGGACAGGACTGTCATGGACAGGACTGACAGACCCGACTGTCTGTCAGTCATGTAACACAACACTGTGACATTTGTGTTGTAACAGTGACATCTTACAAGACTGTGTTAAAATGTGACATTTCTGTGATCTACCAACAAAAAAACCCCACCTCCCTTGCTCTTTCTCCTGGCTGTCTCCCCTGGCCGTCATGCTTGATCAACATTCGATTATACCAATTGTGGGTTTTCTTGTGAAACAAAGCAAAGTCAAGCTGTACTGTATTGCCCAAGTGCTGCCATGAATGAATGATTGTCTATTGCCCTAATACCTTCATGGAGGCTGAATACCATGAAGGGAATTTATCAAAACGGCAGCAGACAAAATCTGGAGCAGCTGTGCTTGACAACCAGCCTCTCTGTTTAATTTTCAAATCTTGACTGAACAAACTAAAGAGAGAAGCTAATTAGTTGCCATGCACAGCTGCTCCAGATTTTGTCTGCTCCAGTTTTGATAAATCCCCCCCAGGTAACTTGGGTAAGGGCGTTTTTTTCCTGTCTTTCTGTGTGTCCTCCCGTGAGCCTTATCCTGTCCTCCCGCGGTGCCAGTGCGGCCGAATGGGTCGGACGCTGCAGGTGGGGAGGGGTGGGTGCCCTTCCTCGTCTGCAGCGTCCGACAAATTCGGCTACACAAGCACCATGAGAGGAGCTTGGGACAGCAAGCTAACTTGCAATCACTATCTACCAGTGTTATGCTGGGCACACACCTTACAACCACCGCAAGACTTTTTTTTTCGATGGTTGTAAGTTAATTTAAAAAAACGTACGATCTGCCCATCTTGGACAGGCAGATCGTACTTGCGATGATCGCAAGCCCGCCCCTCAGCGATGACCACAATGCTGAACGGGCAGTGCGCTTGCGCACACCGGCCCGTGCGGCATTTATCATATGAACATGCCACACACCTGCCGACAATCGTACGATTCTCGGTGGGTTTTCGAACATGTTCCTAAGATAAAAGTCGTGCGACCTTACAGTAGCAGTGGTCGCACGCCTTCCACACACCTTGCGCTAATCGTACGATCGCGGGATTTCCCATGAATACTGCTGTATTCTGTGGTTCCTTCCGTTCAGCCCTGTGCGCTGTAATAACATAGGGGGTGGCGGGAGACATCGGCATCTGAAATTACCAGAGGTGTGCAATGCAAAAGGTTCACCAGCAGGATTTTCTTGTCACTGCACAGAAGTTCGGCATCATGGGCAGCAGGACAAGTAGGTATTAACAGCTTGATTTACAAGGGGCTCCTTTATTCAGATTTTGCATACAGTCAAGGTTACCAGTGTGCTTATGTAAGCATTCAACCCCTCGAATGGTTGGTGTCATAGCCGATAGTATGTACAGCACCATGGCAACTGCATTAACAGAGGCCAAGATGGCACCTTCCTTGGCTATAAAGGATAGGAGGGTGTAGTTCTACTTTAATAAAATTACACTTGCACTAAAATAGCCATTCCATTACAACAGTCGGACGGGAAGGGGTTAAAGTGTATGTCTCTTTTTTTTTTTTTTACTTTTGGGGAAGAACAGTAAGGGAAGTGTGAAACCCAACTGGCAAGAATTTGTTTTCATAAATCCGCCCATGGCTTTCCAAGGTGGTACTTGGAGGTACAAAGCTCTGAAACAAGGCCTCCAGACTCCATTGCCTCTACATTTATAAATATTGACAGGTGGTAAGGAACTCACTTATTCTACCTGCCCAAGTGTAATTGGATATTGAAGTAGCATACATCATTAATATATTCCTTAATGTAGCACGCTACATTTTTACTAGGGATGCACCGATACCACTTTTTTAAGGCCGAGTACGAGTACCGATACTTTATTCCAAGTACTCGCCGATACCAATTACCGATACTTTTTCTTAAAAGGGACAGGTCACATTTTTTCTAAAGCAATAAAAAAATCATGATTTTAGGTCAGTTTCTTAATATTATGAAGAACATGAACACTCTGTAGTGTGGCACAGCTATATCCATTTCTGCATACCTGGCTTTATATTATAAAGAACTTTATAATATAAAGCCAGGTATGCAGAATTGGCTACAGATGTTCCACACTATACAATAATACACTGTTCTGGAGTCTGGACATGTGATAATCTATTTTCCCCACTAGGGGGATACAAGCCTTAGTTAGCAATGGCATGATAAATATTCATTTCATTATTCAATGTCTTTTTTTTTAATATTATAAATGTTATAATATAAAAAAAAAAGACATTGAATAATGAAATGAATATTTATCATGACATTGCTAACTAAGGCTTGTATCCCCCTAGTGGTCAAAATAGATGAGCACATGTCCAGACTGCAGACCAGAACACAGTGTGGCACAGCTACAGCCAATTCAGGATGAAGACAGGCTTCCTCACCAGTCACTCCTGACTGGTGAGGAAGCCTGTCAATCATCCAATCGGCCAATCAGCGGGAGAAGAGGTCAGAAAGACTGGAGCAGATGACAGAGGAGGTCGCGGCCATCTTGCTTGATTGAAGACGCGATGGAGGTCCTGTGTGCGGCGGAACCGGGTCCCTGAAGATGGCGGACGCGGCACAGGTACTCGTTTTATGTTTTGGAGTATTTGCACGAGTACGAGTACTCATGCAAATACTCGGTATCGCGGCCGATACCGATGCTTGTATCGGTGCATCCCTAATTTTTACATAATTACAGGAACATGTAATCATTTTCTATCCTTCAGAGATGGCAATGGGTACAATCTTTGTACTTCATCATAGGAATTTGTAATCAGTTACAGTACATTTTGGGTACACAGCTCTAAATCTTCACCTTAGTGCACACAAGCATATTTTCTTCTGCTGAGAAATGCTCACATCTGTCATAACAGCACTTGTGTGTTTACTTCACTCTGGATACACATGGACAGAATACACATGGGGTTTATGTAAACTGCTCAAGTAACAAAGACTTTCTATTCTAAGTTGGCATTCTTCATAGATATTGTTTTTTTCTAAGTAATTCATATATCTTCAGCAGCCTCAACACTACACCCAAATCCCAGGCCAATCTGTTTTGCAGATTACCATATTCCTTGTTGAGTCAAAGCTTGCCTAACCTGTCTGCCTCCTGTACATTTCTGTGAAGGGCCAACAGGAATGTGCAGTAGGTGGGAAAGAGTGCTGGAGGCTGCAGATTCATAAGGCCCAGGATTTCAGGAAAGTGGTGAGAACTTGTAGACTGCTGGTAGAATACAATTTTTTTTTCTTCTTTCCGAGAGATTCACTCAAGGCTAACTACCATTTAGCAGCAGCTTCCTCACCAGCCAATGCCAATCTCTAAAGAACTTTAATGTTTCCAAATATAAAACTTATGATGAATCTCATTTGAGTGACAAGTAATACACCTGAAAAGTGCATCGAAACACCATAAAAGCATTTCAAAAAAACAAAAGTTTATTTGTCTGTATTAGCATAGACAGTCAGCTACACATACATTTGACTTTCATAATTAAATACATGAATGTATAATTATAACAGGCAGGAGGGCAATAGAAAAAAATGTGGATGGCACATTTGGTTACTTTCCATGTAAAACTTTGAATTAAATAACTTGCTTATCCACTTTCTATTATTTCTGTTGTAATCACATACCAAATAAAACTATTTACTACAATCATTTTCACCAAAGTAATTTCGGATGTACTGCTACAATACTTTACTTAGTGTACTCTGCGAGGTGAGGAGGTATTGCAGTGGCAGAGTACATTACAGTGTAAAGAGTGTTTCTAGAGCTTATGCATTGTCTCAGTATACTACCTGGTAAGCAACAAGGCTACAAAATTCACAGCCACAACCGATACAGCATATCTACATTATTATTATTTGCTGCAGCTTCAGTGCATGTCAACTGTGCCTAATGTCTTTTAATAAAGATTTTTTTTTCCCCCATGATAAAAATTTTAGAGCATATTAACACTGTTTCAAGTTGCCTCCTACTCATCTTGCTAGCAATAGCTAGCTATGTACTGTAAACATGTGCAGAATAGGAGACTTTAAACCAAGGCATGACAGTGAGTGCTTACAATGGTCACTTAAGTGAGGTTTTCTTTAACCTGAGGGTAAGATGACTTACAAACAGAAAAAGACAGAACAAACACAAATAATAAAAAGATAAAAATACTATGCAAGAGTGTTTGTGGTTTAAGAAGAACCTGTATTGTTAAGACTGTTTCCCTTTGTAATAATGGCTCTGTTCCATGGAAGTAATTTATTTTTGGAACTAAGGCTTGAAGTTTGAGAGGCCAGAGTTAATTCAGATGTCACTGTAGTGCTTTAACCAGATACAATTTTTCTCCATGTTCACTAGTAAAAATGGGTGCTTTCTTGTAATGTTCCACCAGTTCATCCATGCTCTTAAATCTCCTTTGCCCAATACAATAGACACTGTCCACACGCTGTACTTTAAAGTGTTTGTTTTTCCCTGATGCCTTTAGAGAAATTGAAAAGTCGCTGGGCTGTAAAACAGAAAACAAGCACATATGTAACTAAACATTCACTAAAAACACACAAAAAAGCGAGCGTATTCAACTTATGTTGCCATTCTGTCATATTTTCAAAACTAATGCAAATCTAAAGCTACCCATGAGAATGAACAAGAATGTTGAGTTGAGCCAGATGTTTGTGCACAATAGGAGCGGTGCACATGTTGGGAATGTCACATGCACTTAGAACTGCCCTGTAAAAATCTATATTTACCTTTAAATGAGTCTGTCATGTGCACTATAGTGTATAAACTAACATTACTGCTAAAGTGAAGTACCTCTTTTTGCCCTGGCAGGGTTAGTTGATCCAGGCCAAGATTTTATATAAATGCCTTGACTTTTCTGCAAAATTAAGATTAAGCCATGCCTGCTTGATAGGAAGCAAGCCCTGTCATTTAACAGTCCCATTCCAGAGGGAATAGACTCTCAACTTGGAGAGACCTTGTATTCAACCTGAACCTCAAGGTCCTCTGCAGACACAAAGGAAGTGATTTAAGACAAACATGTATACCGTTCCAGGTATGTTAGTTTATAGAGGTTAGTAGCTATTACAGGTTCACAGAATATAAGCATAAATATAACCAATATGTACTGAGCTAAAAGTAAAAAATAATGTGTAAAAAAAAAAGCAATATAAGAAATACTGGAAACAATTGTGTTTAAGAAGAGGCAATATATACTCAATAAGCTAAATAAATAAATATACAGGCAAGTGAAACCAAAGTGCAATCCTAGTAATATGTGTTCAAATGTGGTTCACTTTTGTTGATCTGCGTTTCTAAGAACAGTTTGGATACAAGGAGCGCAACACTGCCCAGTTTGGGGAAGCACTTTTAGACCTTTTTGGTTAGGTCAGTCTAATTTGGGAAGTTAAGTTGTGGTCCTTCCAGTTCAGGTTATCTGTGGTTGGATGAGAAATTATAATTTCCAATACCCCAAACTGAAAGCTCACTTTGGTCTGGAATGTACAGATTGCACTTTAGGCAAGGTGGGTAACAGACTTCTATTGATGAAAAGGTCACATTTGTTTGGATTGCGCTACAGATAGAAAGTTCACATTGTAATTGGATTAAACTGATTGTATTTTGCACTTTATACAAAGCTATCAGTTACCACTTACTCAATATTAACAATTTACTTGGATTGCACTTTAGTTCCTCTTGCAGTCTATATACATACAGTTAGGTCTGGAAATAATTGGACACCGACACAATTCATAATTTTGGCTCTATATGTCGCCACAATGGACTTGAAATTAAGCAACCAAGATGCAATTGAAATGCAGAATTTCATTTTTAAATATCAGGAAACGTTTAGGAATTGCAACCATTTTCATACACAGTCCCCTTATTTGAGGGACTAAAAATGTAATTGGACAAGTTAACACAATCATAAATAAAATGTTCATTTTTAATTACTTTGTTGAGAATCCTTTGCAGGGAATGACTGCTCGAAGTGAGGAATGCATGGGCATCACCAAGCACTGGGTTTCCACCTTTGTGATGCTTTGCCAGGCCTTTACTGCAACCGTCTTCAGTTGGTTTGTGGGTCTTTCTGCCTTAAGTTTTATCTTCAGCAAGTGAAATACATGCTTGATCATGCCGAGATCAGATAATTGACTCGGCCATTGCAGAATATTCCACTTGTTTGCATTTTAAAAAATCCTGGGTTGCTTTTGCAGCATGTTTTGGGTCACTGTTCATCTGTAAAGTGAAGTGCTGTCCAATCAACTTTGCTGAATTTTACTGAATCTGAGCAGACAATGTATCCCTATACACTTCAAAATTCATCTGACTGCTTCTGTCACATCAGCAATAAACACTAGTGACCCAGTGCTGTTGGAAGCAATGCATGCCCATGCCATCACACTGCCTTCACTGTGTTTTAGAGATGATGTGGAATGCTTCGGATCAAGAGCCGATCCAAGCCTTAGCCATACTTTTTCCCCCCAATCTTTCTGGTACAAGTGATTTTGGATTCATCTGTCCAAAGAATGCAGTTCCAGAACTGGGCTGGCTGTATTATATATTTTTTGGAAAAGTCTAATCTGGCCTTTCTATTCTTGAGGCTTATAATTTGGTTTGTACCTTGTGGTGAACACTCTGTATTTGCTTTTGTGTAGTCTTCTCTTTATGGCAGACTTGGATAATGATATGCCTGCCTCCTGGAGAGTGTCCTTCACATGGCTGGCTGGTTTTATTTACCATGGAAAGGATCCTGTGATCATCCACAACTGTTTTCCGTGGACGTCCACAACCTTTTGTGTTGAAGAGCTCACCAGTGTGTGTTCTTTTTTTCAGAATGTACCAAACCTATTGAGGTTATATAACCTACTCTTGAACATAATTGTTGTTTCCAGTTTTAATTATATTGCAGATTATTACACCTATATATTGTTTGGTATTTTCAGCTCCGTGCAAATTAATTAATACTTTGTTGTGTATTCCTTAGGATATATCACAGTTTAATTTAATTACAGGGTAGGTGGGTTAAGCATAATTCCTGAGCAAAGAATAAATATAGGTTCACTGAAAGGCAGCTCATACAGTACAGATCAAAAAGTTGGAGACAGAAGCGCCACAACCTAGCGCAATGACTGTGTTGTGCGATTTGGGGGTGAAGGGTGTTCAACTAACCTGTAGTGGGGTGGGCACTCACTCGGACAGGTGGTTGAGACTAATGCCAACCCCTAAACCCAGACAACAGAACCGCATCACAAACCTTTAACCCACCCTCACCAAAGTCTCCGGACTCCGTACCTGATCTCGGACGTACTAGCCATCTTGGAGGAATTGGCAGACCCCACCCTTTCCCACAATTCTTAGAAAACCTACTTAGCCCCACCTTCACACACACCCCCCTCCAAGCTTTTTCCTGCAGAAATCCAAAGCACCATACATCGAGACATTCTAGCAAGTCACATACACTGATCTTTTGGAACTCTGTGGACACCCCACAGACCAACTCAATTACCACCAAGAGTCATACCAAACATCCCAATAAAATGAACCTGTCCCCGGCCGAACGCAAAGCACTAAAGAACCTGACAAACAATAAATTGATTTCCATCCGCCGAGCAGACAAAAGGCAGGGGTATAGTCATACAGAACCGTGACGACTACCTCAAAGAGGCCCAACAACTGTTATCCGACACCACCACTTACCAGAGACTTCCCACCGACCCTCTACCCCAGTTCCTCGCCGCTCTGAAATCCCCGACAGACAAAGCCTTTGAGGATAAAATGATCACTAAGAAAGAAAAATTGTTCCTCTGCCCTCCACAACCAACAACACCCTTTTTCTACCACTTAGCCAAGATCCACAAGAACAACATCACACCCCCCGGCCGCCCAATAATCTCTAGCATTGATATTCTCACTAGTGGCCTGTCCCGCTATGTGGATCATTTTCTTCAGCCCATCATAACCACCCTACCATCCTACCCGAGAGAGATTCCAGACATCTCATCGAAATCTTACAACACTACTCCTGGGAACCGACCTACCGCTGGGTCTCATTAGACGTATGCTCACTTTACACCTCCATTCCCCACAAAGTAGGCCTCCAAGCATTGCAATATTACTTGTCCCAACAACCCACGCTCCACTACAGACAGGCACAATTCATCCTCAACTCCACTAAATTCTCGCTGGAACATAATTACTTCACCTTCCTGGAAAAATGTTACCTGCAAACTCAAGGCACGGCTATGGGGGCTAACTATGCCCCCAGCTAGGCCAATCTGACCGTGGGTTTCTGGGAGGAATTCCACATTTGGCAACACAACCCATTTGCCCGACACCTCATCTTCTACGGCCGCTACATAGATGACAGTCATCATATGGGACGGCCCCCCAGACACCATTCTGGACTTTGTGACACACTGCAACACCAACACCTCAGGACTCAAATTCACTTACGTTACCGACCAGCACCGTTTGGTCTTCCTAGACCTCAAACTCATGCACCTTGAAGGAGGAATCATCACAAAAAACACACTTCAAACTAACCGCTGGGAATTCATACCTCCACTTCAAGAGTTGCCACCACCCCCTTTGGAAACGCAACATCCCCAAGAGAATAAAAACTGCACCAAGAATGAGGATTACATTCAACAAAGGCCATCTCTTAAAAAGGAAAAATTCTTGGAGAAAGGCTACCCACAACATCTCGTTACCAAAGCCCGTAACCAATTTGACACCACAGAGAAAATGTCACCAGCACACCATAAGTTGAAAAATCAAAATATTTTTATTGCCAATAGCTGTATCTCATTGGCAAGCGCCTTCGGGGCCTCGCAGGGTCCCCTTCATCAGCGGTGCCTAACCTGCCAATTCATTTCACATGGCCAATCCTTTTTCCAGGACAGCCTGGGCAATACATTTGCCATTTCCCAATTCATCATGTGTGCCCACGACTACGTGGTATTACGGCCTCAAGTGCCCCTGCAATCTACTGTACATAGGCCGTACTATCCGCCCCCTCCGCAAACGGATCGGGAAACATAGAAGATTCATTGAAGAAGGCTCGATCGAACAGTGTCCCACGCCATTTCCTTCAGAAACATCAGAATAACATCACACATGAATACTATTATCTGATTCCTCTCTGATTACCAACATTCGCCCCAGACCAGCCCCCCCATGTGTCAACGATTAAAACTCCCCTCTCCCTCTCTCCAAAGTGCCATAGACATATGACAGAGTCTGCACTTATTGGTTACACTCACAGCCCTGATAAGGGACCTCCATCTCCTCAGACCCTCGATCCTGTTTAGGGTCCCTATTTGTTATTAATTTATTATTATAAATTTTTTCCATCCATCCAATAATCTTTCAAACACCAATCTGCTCACCTTCTAAGTGGTTACCACAGCCAGTGTACCAAAGACCTTACTGCCCAAATACACTGTTAAAATCCCACCTATGCACCACCAACTTTCCTTCCCCGTGCCCAGATACTCCAGATTTTTC